GGAAAAAAGGAGAGCAGTATCACACACTCGTTTTCTGCTGATTAAATTTATATTTTTCCTTCAGTAAAAAATTATTATTGTTCCAGGCTTTTCACTTGATCACGTGGATATACCTATTACAACCATGTTATCACGTCTCTCAAATAAATAATTCATAAGTACGTTATGAATTTGTGGGAATAATGGTTTGGTAGATACATCTGCGATGTTGTTATTCGACTACACGAGTTGTTTATGATACTCTTTCCTTTGCATGTCACCCCTCACGTAAAGATATGCTATATCAATTTCTAATTCATTTATTAGATGTACCGCCTCTAATTATATTCTTAACCTTTAAGTTGGCTGTATAGATCTTCATATCAATTCCGCGAGAAGGAAGTAGTTCTGTTAATATATTTCTAATCGCAAAAATGCTAGACAATGCCTTGCTTTTGGCGATATATTCAGCTTCACAGGAAGTCGTTAATTTTTGTTTTAAGTTAAAGAACCATTGAAAAGGGCAGCGATTAACACGTATGATATATTCCATGGTCATCTTATAGTCATATGTGCCTGCCCATGAAGCGTCACAGTAGCATTCTAGTAATACCCTATTTTCATGGTAATTTTTGTAATTTAATACTAGAGAAAGTTCTTTAATACTATTAAGATACTTTAATGTTTGACACGCCCACTTCATGTGTTCATCACCGTTGCAATGTGTAGGAAGCGACTAAGAATAGGAGTGGCATATGATAGCTCGGGTATAGTACTGTCAGCAATATTTCGTAGTGACCCAACTAGGTTGTAAAAGGTTGCATTAGCACCCCCATCCGAGGGTGGCTTTAGCTTTGTGCTAATTGACAAAGGTTGTTTTAAAGCGTTTCTCTTATCCATCTGATGTCTCTGTAAAAGGTGGTTACTGTGATGACTTTGATTTAACATGATGGGGTTGTCCTTATCATCGGTGTCAATTCCCAAAATCTTGGGCCTTTACACATATTCTTTCCTCATACTATTGATAAAGGTGGTGTAGCCACCATTGTAATACATCCATCAATGTAAATGCCTACAACTGTTTCGAAGTTATTCCTATAAAATATGCATTCATCCACTTTACTTTGGCTGTGTCCATACTTGATGACCTTGTAAACAAATCTCGATAGAAAAGTCTTGCTGATGCTTTAAGGCCGCAGAGAGCAATATTAATTTTGAATGCATATTTTTTGTTAGTCAAGTGATGTTAAGTAAGTGGTCTTTTTTGAAGACAGGGTAGTTTATTTTTAATTAAATACATTCCTTGTGGTATGTGTACAAATACAGGTCTTTATAATTTTATATATAAAAATGCCGTTATTATGTGTGCTGTATGGATGGCCAATTTACGTATTTTGGCTAGAGTTAATAGCAGTTTAAAAAAGAAGATTAGTAACACTGGAGAAAAAAGATGCTTGAAATTAAAAATCAGGAATTTGCTGAAAGCCTCTGGCCACTAATCTGGCTTTGTATTGATTATCTGAATTAAATATGTGACCTCCGCGTAGTTGATATTTTTTTTTCATTAAGAATACAATCCCTAGTAATAATCTCTAAGCCATTAGGCTCTAATAATGTTATGAGTTCGTATTTAGCTGCTAATTTATACAAGTCTTTGTCTGCTGAATGCAGCGCTTCAGAATATGTGTTAAAGTATTATGAGTTAATAAAGCATTTGATAACCTGGTTTTCTTCAGCACGTCGTCCGCAACACTTTCAGAGAGTCTTCTGTTTGCACTTATCTGTTCGTTATTCTCACTGTAGCGCATATCTCTATGCTTTAGTAGCTGTTCCTTTTAGCAGTCGCTTTCTTTCTCATCTTCAGAGCATTTTACATCTGCTAATATATTTGTATACATATAGTCTTCATGGATTATAACTTTATCCGACCGTTTCATGTAAAGTTTATACTTTGCAATATAATGGGTAACCGCTTTTTCAGGTTTTTTACCTATTGATCCGGACACTGTGATTTTACTCAAAAATTCAATGCCAGGCTCTTCTAATGGAGCTATTGTATTTCTATTTAATTTAGATTTTTTATCCTCGTTATATGCATTAATAACGTTTGTCGGTCTCAGTGTTAAGTCTGTATATTACTTCAGGGTTTATAGTAAAAGCGGTGTGTGGTAGGTAGTGTTCTTTGTGCTTAAAGGAAGAGATAAAGAATTAAGCGTAGTTTGCATTATGTTTCTTTTGTCAAAAGGGAATGCGTCCTCAATACACTTAACGTCCCTGAACCTTACAAATTCCCTGTGTTATGCTAAGTATGTTATACTCGTCCTCAGCGGAATCTATTGATTTATATAAAGGAACGCCTTCTAAAGCACGATCTTACCTTTTCCTTTTATAGCTCGGATTATAATATATGATTCTGGAGTCTAGAGGTCTATTTGATTTAAGACTGGAATTAAGACCAAAAATTTTGATGGGCGTAACTTGTAAGTTGTCCTTTCTTTTTTTATAGGTCATCAAGAATTAGTACCGCATCACGGATACTCTCCCTCCTATAAGTTTTAGGAAGTTTAGATTGTTTTGATACTATACCGGGTCACGTTTGGATAAGCTTTGAATGCTTCTTTCACTTAGCATGTGTTAAGGAGGATCTTTAGGTACAGTTGATAGTTTGATACCCTCCTTTTTTATGTTTTGATTGAATCTGTAGTTAATAAATTCGCTACCTTTATCGTTCTTATTTCCTCAATAATAGCTGTAATATTTTCATTAACCTAAATATTCTTTATAAATTTATTGTGGCACTGAATTTATTTGACTATAAGTTTAAGTTCCTCTGTTTTTAGCAAATGATATTGTAACACGATTCGATTTCGCGTCTGTGTAATTATATAATTATACCCCCCGTACGAAGTAATATCCCAGGTTAAAGTGTCTATATATATCTATTGTCCGGGTTTTCGAAAACCGTGGGTTTCACTAAATTTGCTTACTTTCTTTTTCTTCTTTTTACATGTTAAGCATATATCACAATCTTAGTTTTTAAAATAAGGTATGTTTGGACAAATCTTTTATAGATAGTATTGACTAATGTGTCCGAACACACAGTGTTGTTCTTTTGGGACACTCGTCACAACAGATTTATTAGTCGTTGCCGACATGAAAAACTTTTATTTGCATTTTCAGTGTGAAGAATGTAGAGTCACACTCTTTTACTTCCCTGAGCTACAGTGTTAGTTATTTTGTTTTTCAGTAAAGACTTTAGTATCTTTAAAGTAAACATTATAACCTTTTTTATTAAGCTCGCCTACTGATTAGGTTATGTTTAAAGTTTTACTAAATATGGCTTGACCATGATCAGGGCAATTTAAATATCTACTCAGATAAGCTTTTGAAGATCAATTATTGTGTTAATAACGTTCTTGTCGTAAGTTACTTTGCTTATAAGCCTTTTGTCTTTAACAAAGTGAAGGTAGGCGCCCTTGTCCAAAACCATATTTGGTCCAGACTTTTGTCCAAATTTAGGCAGGCATACTGTTTCAATATATGTCTAATTTTTCCGCAAAATTTGCATGTTTCTCTGACAAAAAGACTGTGATCTCGAGTGACGGCCTCGGCAGCCTTTGCAATGAAACTGATGCGACTTGGGTTAATATTTGCTCATAGTGGGATTTTCTTGGAAGGTATTAAAAGAAGAACATGACTTATTTTCAACTTCTGTCTGGTTTCCGCTAGAAGAAGGGCGTTAGGAGCGTATACCAGGTCAAGGCGTTTGGGGTTATTGCTAAAATATTGTTTAAGAGATATAACATCATATTTAAATTCATCTCCCGTTCGATGAATGAGTGCAATAACTTTATGGAAATCAGTAATTTCCTTCAAGTGAAAAATTATTTTTTTACTGTACCGCTCTTCATTTGCATTTGAAAGGTAGTTAAGCCGATTTGCGAATTGTTGAACTTTTTCACCACGGTTTTTCCTAAAGTTAAAGAGCTCGTGCACTTTGCTCATAGAGGTGACCAGTGACTTTCTTCTGAAAATATCCTTAACAATATGGATAGCACGCTCTAATCCTGTAACTTTAATTTCTTCAGTTTAATTTCTACATCGCGATGAAGGCTGTCATAATTATATGAACACCCAGCGCTTAGTCAGACTTTCTGAAAAACTTATTTCCAGCTCACATACTTTTCTTCAATAAAAAAGAGGTCAAGGACACCCTGAGTGACTAAAGCTAGTTTAACGTCTATAAGATATTGCCCATGCCAAGCTTGTTGAGTGCCTTTATCAAAGGTTCTGCATTAAAAGAGAAGGAGTGAAAGAAATTATAGTAGTTTTAATTAAAATAAAATGAAAATTAAAAAATACTAATAAAAAGTTTTAATAAAAAAAAAAGTAATAAACGAAAGAGTGAAAGAGAGTAATATAAGGAGTAATTAAAGTTAAATAGATATATGGCTCAAATTAAGAAATGCTAATAAAAGTTTATCTGAAGGCAATTTATCAATTAAGATCTAAAGGATGTATGTTTCGTATGCTCATAAGAGAGCTTATAACGTAATAAACAGAAAACCCAATAAAGAGGGAAGGAACTATCACGCACGTGTTTTTATTTCTTTTTTTTTTAAGGATTCATAGGCTGTAAGTCTTCAAGGTGTATACTATAGGCAGCAGGGTAACATAATATAGATATAAAAGAATATCATAGACAATAAAAAAATATAGTACAATAAAGTCAAAATACTAGGCAGTATTATAAATTTTTATTTGATTACTATAGACCCCCAGATGCACCAAGCCCAATCGCACACAAACAAAGAAAATGAAAAGAACCGTGCCAGGTGCCCGCGCCAAACTTATATAATCACATGTGCCCTTCCCTTGAACGCTACCCCTAACCACAGACATTAGTAAAATCATTATTGTCCCCGACTTTTCACTGGATCACGTGGTTTTACTTATTAAAACCCCTAAAGCTCTTCGCCAATGTAAAGGGCTTAGATGTCTTTAACACTCATAAAACTTTCTTGTAATATTGACCTTAACCTCTATGACACCACCCTTACCTCTTCTTCCTTCTTACCCCAATCAGGGAGACGGTATATAACTGAATTTTTTTATGAATTTGTCTCTTAATTTGCTAATCCTTTTATAGATAATTACGACTCTTCTTTTCAACAGAATTCTGAATTTTTTGACAATCGAATCCCCTCATTCCCCCAAGAGAGAACCTCTCATGTTTACAGTAAATATTATTTCTCTTCGATTTCATTGACATCTTCCTCTAAATATTCTATGTTATATTTAAAGGTGTACCCCCACAAGACTTAAGTTCTTCTTACCAACATAACATGCATTTCTCCAGCCTGCCATCTTTTTCTATTCCTTTTTCGCACCCAGCAACTCCTTTGCCTCCACCTTACGTCGCAGGCCCTAATGACCAAACTACTTTACTCCAGTCTACTTGCACTGCAAATTGTTATAAAAAAAATTATATATTCTTAAAGTTTAATTTAAAAATTATTACCGAAAATATGCGAAGAGTGCTATAAAGTAGTTACTCTTTTATTTTATTTTAGGTTCGCTCAATTTATATATCCTGCATCATTTAAACTATATTTTAATAGCTTATGTTTATGTTTTTTCAGTTTTCCTACTTAATACCTCTTGATAGACTCCTTTTATTTTTTATTATTTCCTTTTAAAAGCGGTTTATTAAATATAACTTAATACTATGTTATGCTAAAAATAAGATAGTTTGTTAATAACTTTATATTATAGCTGTTTGCTCATTCCCTCCAACTTACAAAAGAAAAGCAGTTGTGATTGGAATTAATTATTTTAATGACTCCCGTTACCGTTTAAGTGGCTGCACAACAGACGCTAATGTATAACATGTTCTTAATTATATTTATTTAGGGTGTGGTTGTTGTGACCACGTTGCAATTATGTATAAAAGTTTGTATAATTTACTGTAAAGGTTTTATACTGAATACCCATTTAAATCAATTTAATTATAGAGTTATTAACGTATAATAATAGCACTTGTGTGAAATTTATATATATTTGTTTGTTTTTTCTATTGTTTATTGTAAACTTAACATTATTATTAATTTTTTTAAAAAGTGTATAGAATACATGCTCCTCTCTAAGCTTAACTTTCAACCTCCCAATATCCTCAAACTCACTGATGCTTCTGATGATTATCCTAAAATGGTAATTTTTCAGCCAGAGACCAAAATATTTTTCTACACTAATTAATAGTAATAATAACTTTGCAAATTTTAATTGATCGAAATTTCTAAATTATAATTAAGTTAAATTTTTTGCAGCCCACCAAAAAGAACATCCTCCAAGCGCTCAAGTGGTTAGTCAGAGATGCCGTTCATGGTTTGGAGTTGATGTTTCTATTAATAATAAATTTATTGGAGATTTCTTCTCAGTTCAGTCAGTGCGCTATAATTTACTTTTTAATTCTATACATTCTTTTAATGATAATGTGAGGGCAGCAGTATTTGCTATACACTCTTATTAACAATAGCAAATATACTAATTACAATTAACATACGTTTCGAGCTAATTGCCATTAAGAGCTTTGGGAAGATGGGCAACTTTTGATTTATTTATCCAGTGAATGCTTGAAGCATCGCTAATTATCTGGCTAAAGTATGCTTATTTTTACTTTAAGTACTGAAAGTGCTTCAAGTTATTGCAAAATACTTCGCTGAACTATAAAATTAATACCAGTTCTATTGAGATTCATTTAATAGTTATTTTTAAGAATTTATTTGAATAAGGCGAGCACTTTAATATATTTTAAAGGTTTTTATTCGTCAGGCGTTACTATTATTTTTTGTAATATTAGTTTGGTTTATACTTATAAGCTCTTTACTTTTTACAAATAACTTTAGTAGAAAGTATTTATTCTTGGAATTGTTTTATTTTTTTTAAATTTTTTGTCTTTCTTTTGTTATAAATAATTTTATATAAAAATTTATTATTGTTTTACAATAGAAGTTTTTTTTAAAGCTCAAATATAGATTATTTATGATCCAAGTATATAGTATTTTTATTCACGATTTTGGATAATTAATTTATATGAAAAGTCTGTAACTTTTTTTAAAAAGTTGTATGAGTAGTCTTTCTATAATTTGTGGTTACTATTTATTTTATGAACTATAGTAACTCTTATAAATCAGGTTGATCTACTTCAGTATCTTCATTTTTATGAGACCCAGTTTTGTTATTTTTATTTTTATTATAATATTTTTTCAATTATTTAGGCGATACTTTTTTTTTCCATTTTTCTGGACACGGCTCGCAAGTGCTTGACCGCAGTGGAGACGAATCCGACGGCTGGGATGAGACCATCTGCCCCGTCGACTTTAAATCTGCTGGTTTCTTATAATTTAAGTTTGAGTTTAGTAAAAAAGTTAATAGTATTTTAAATATAAATGCTTAAACAGTAGTACACTATTATATATGGATGTTGTTGTTTTTTCTTGAATTTTTTATCTTTTTAGTACTTTTCTATTCAAAATTTAAATATTTTTTTCTTATAGTTTAATATAAAGTGGAGTGCGCGTCTTGAAAAATAATATAAATTAATTAAAGGGATGATTATTGATGATGAACTTTTCAACATTCTTGTTCGACCGCTTCCTTTTGGCGCACGACTTTTTAGCATTATGGATTGCTGTCACAGCGGGACTGGTATTCGTGAGCTTATAATATTTGTGACTAAGTTAAAGAGGTTTGAAGAAAAACATGAGTAGATATATAAGAAAGTTTAAGCCAAAGGCTATTTGGAAGGGGGAAAGTCATCTCTGTCTACACATTTTGTTTAGTACAGCAGCATGTGACGAATCTCCTTTTTTCTTGAAGGATTTTAGACTGGCACTACAAAGAAGTCAGTTTGTGTTTGGTTTTTAATAAAGTTCTACTCACAAAGCTATTTATCATTATGCCTACGCTCTGTAGGCATATACAGCCTTTGCGTACCACACAAATATTAGTTGTACTACTAATAATTTACGTAACTGTAGGACTTGACCTTCCCATTTGCTATACCTACAAAGACGGCCATATAAGAAGAAAAGCTGAAGGACCTTCTATTTTTTCCACTGGACTTGCCAATCTTTTTTTTAATTCCAAAAGAAAGAAGTTTAAGAATGCTTCTCACGTTAAAGGTTTGCTTTTAATTTTTTTTTTATTTCAATAGTGACTAGTGAAGTTTTTAGTGTTAAAATAATTTTTTTTTGAAACAGTATTAGTCAGAAGAATAGTATTAAACATTAAGCAATAAAAGGGCGCAATTCAAATTTTTAAGCATTGTTATTATCTGGTCAATGATTGACCCCCTATTGTAGGGTTCGCGTTTTTAACGAAGTTTGGGAGTATATAATACACTCTCTATTTGGTGCCCGTCAGTCTGATTTTTTTTTGATTATGATAACTCACTATAGTGACTTTACTTCCAATTCCTTCATATAAATATAATATTTTTATTATTACTATTATAATACTAACGTCACTCATTTACTAAAAACCTTTTAATATTCGTGTTAGTTACTAAAATGAAAGTTTTATTTTCTTTATCGATTTGACCTTTTTTATAATTTTTCATTGCTTTTTATAAACCTTTTTTTTACTTTTACTGCTCTATTCCTATCTTGCTTTTGTATTGCTTTTAGCTAATAGACATTGATTGCTTGTGTTTATTATTACAAACAAAAATTGTTTTTTTGACCTTAGGGAGACCCTCACACTTTTTAACATCTCTAATAAAACTTGTTAAAAAATAGTTTAAAGTTTCGATACGCAATCAAAATAAAATATTAGCAAACTTATAAATAAATAAAAATTTTATAGGCTTAGCAGTTTTATTTAGTTCCTGTGCTGACAGTGAAACTTGTATGGACACCAATAAGCTTTCCGGTTGATAAATATTGTGAATATTTTATATATTTTTCCTTTTATGTTTTACTATGAAATAAAAAATTTTTAAAAAAACTTATTTAAGTTTTGAAGTTGCAATAAAGTTTATAACTTTTTAGTATTTTTTGTAGTCGTAAATTATCTTATTTATTTTAAAACCCGCCAGCATGTTTAAACTTTATCGTAGTTTTCAAACCTTTATATAGAGATAAAGGTTTTTTGTATGTATAAATATATTAACTGAGTTTGTGTCACATGTATTACAATATTTATAAATTACTACAACTAAGTTATAGTTTCCTTTTTTAATAATTAATTTAAGTTTAAGTATAAAGTTTTTTAAGGTACTTAATTTTTTTTTGAGTTATCCTTATATTTTTGTATACCATAGTTTTCTGGATAATTTAATTAACCATTTAATTGGGTATTCAAACTTTTTATAAAATGGTTTGCTGTGCGACTTAAATAAGTAAAACTTTTCTTTGTTGTAATAAATTCATCTGCTTTAAAAAACTGTATACTTATCAAAATTATTATTAAATATTTATATATTATCAATATTATCTTAATTTATAAATATAATGAATATATCATAATTTAAATTTTTTATTAGTGTTTATTTTCTTGGTAGTAGCGTGTAATTATATCAACAAGGGTAATAAGCACCCTATTTTAGAACAAAATTATTTACTACATTGTTTCGATTCTTAATTAAAATAAATATGTATTATTTGTCATATTTAATATTCTGAATTGTTATTAACTTTTTAGAAGGTAAACATTAGTGTTAAAAATGTATATACTTATTGGAAAGATAGTTTTTTTGTTAAAAAAAAGATAAGTTTTCGGTTTTGAAGTGAACCGAAAACCAAATAACATACAAAACTACGATATTTTAGTCGTTATATTTTGTTATTATAATTTTGTTAATTCTATATGTATAATTTACAAGTTATTATAACGAGCAGGAGGCGTGTTTAACGGTGTGATGACTTTTGCCTTCATTCAGTGTATTGAAAATTATTATCCTGATTTAACTTTTGGTTCTTTGTTGATGCACTTGAACACTTTTATCAAAAGCAAAAGTTTCAAGCAGGAGCCTAATTTAAGTTCCACGCAAGAACTTAATTTTAATGAAAAGTTTTACATTTAGTGAAACCGGCCACATCTCTATTAACCCGTCAGTTGCAGCCCCTTTAGTACACTTTAATTTTTATCAATTTTTGCAAAATATCTATTTTTTTTAATAAAAACCACACTTGCTTTTACGTAATTCACGATATTATATAAAAAGAGCAGTACCTATCAACTTTTATCAAGCAATTACTTAATAAAGCGATGTTAAAACGCTCAAATTCCAGCTCTTTCTATAATAAAACTTGCCCAGTCGAACCTTTTTATGTAGCTTAAGGCCATTGATCACTTTGAAGGCCATTTTTTAAGCTGTTTTAATTTTATATCGGGGCAGCTCTTTCACTCCACTTATAACAACCGCAGTTTTAGTGGATCTATTAACAAAAGAATAAAATTCTTGAGTAGCTTAAATATTAGCATTCTAAATCTTATAACCATTTCGGCACTCTTTGCTGCTGGATTTTCCTCGAACCTTAAAATCTATTCTGAGTACTTTTTTAACAAAGCATTAGAAACTAGTAGAAGAAGTAATGGCTATTAAACCGGAGTAGTGTTCATATGAATTTTGATTTATAATAAAGCTTAGGAATCTAACCTTATAAATGTTATATGTGATAGTTTGACGTGTGCTGTTAATTAGGGATAGTCTGATTAGAAATTGGAAACGGTGGGAAACCTGGATTAAGGGCAACCGGTGGACAATAAAAGTATGACTTGGTCAATTAAATTTTTTTGAGTATACCAAGCTATTATAATATAAAATTTAAGATATTAATTTATTGTAAAATGGGTCACCTCAAAGCTTTAGCAAAGTTAAACTCTTCAATTTTTTTTTATTTTTTATATTTATAAATTTGCAACTAGTTTTCTCACCCAATGAATTAGTGTCAACGTTTCTTTTGCGGGATATAATGACACAATTTACCCTTATTTACTTTTAAGATAGGGTAATATTTATTTTACTGCTGGACTATATTTTGCGGCGACACGAGTATAATAGTTTTAATATGAGTGCTGTAAAATAGGAATACAGGGAACTTGTTAACATTTTGCTGGTAAGACGTACCTTGCTTTAATCTCTACTTTTGACCTCTGAATTGTGCAAGACGGTATAGCGAGCACCGCCTTCAAAGTTAATAGTCCTTTAATATATTTAAATTTTATAACGGTATTTCCTATACCAAAACGCAGAATAGAGTAAATAAGAAACCAAAGAATTAAAAATAATATATTTTTTTAACTCAAAGCCCTTTACCCTGCAGACAGAGCTTTAAGATAATTTGTTTATCAGAATTAAAAAAGAGGACTGAATTCAGTTATCCCTATAACTTTGTTCTTAGATCTATAATTAATTTCTTTGTTTTAATTACTGCAAAAATTTATAGTTTAAAGATAATAAATTTGTATAAAATTTGTTGGTAGTTGTAATACGTTATATTTACTGACATATTGGTATTACGGACGTAAGAATTAGACTTTGATTATAAATTATCGCTTGTATTTTACGAAAGTTATAAACATTTTAAGAGTTAATAAAATTACACAAGTCTTATGTTCTTTTAAACTCCCAGAATCAGTGAGAGTTTTACCGAGACGAGCTACAATTCCAACTAATTATGCTACTAAAAACTGGTCAAGTGGGGTTAATATTTGCATTCATGCGTTTACTTTTTTTACTTCAATTTTAATAAAGTTTTAATAGCAAATAGTTTTTTTGGTTGCACTTTTAATTGAGCTTTACATTAAAATGTTTAAAAGAACGCCATTATTGCTATAAATCTAACACTAGTAACGGTAAAGGGAGCGTGTTATACTATATAATAATTATTACAATTCGAGTACAACAGAGAATGACGATTTAGGCAATCTGCTTGTTCCACCAATAGTTAGTGCTACCGGGACCTTTACATAAACTTAAAAAGTTGCAAAAAAGGCCTAGCAGTTGGAGCTAGCCCATTCCTAAACCTTTTAACTACCGCACCTTTATGTGGTAGTTAAAAGTTTTCAATCTGTACGCGCAGACTTCCAAACTCATATTAAGTTTAAATTAATCTTCTTAATCAAAAAACGCCTGCTCACAATAATTTTCCTTCTAACACCAAATCTTTAATGTTTTTTTTTTTGTTAAAAAAAATTAATTTTAAACTGCGCCTTCTAATTGGTCAGTCGATTATTACCAACTCTAGTTTGGCTTCTTCATTAATTTTCAAAAAATACACATTTATCACTTCCAATCTATCCTTTTTTTCAAATACTGAGCTTATGATAATTTAACTGGTACTCTTACGTTTAATTTTATACATTATGGAAGCATTAACGGCATTAATTAACTTAGTTTCGTTGACGCTATTTATAAAGTCTGATAATAATTTCAGTATATACATATTTACAATTAAAATGTAATAGAACATAATTTTTAGTTAATTATTCGTCTTAAAAGTAATTTTACGTTACCCGCCATCCTTACTATTAATAATACTTTTAAAGTATCGGTTACATAAATTTATTATTTTTTTATAAATATAAACATCTCGCGCTATACTATAATTTTTTGTGCCTCCTACATCAAACTTTTTTTTTGCTATTAAGCAAGCACGATTAAAGGAAAAACATAGCTTTTTGAAAATTTGTATATGAAAACTAGGTTTTTAGCATTAAGAGACACTTTGTCTCTAGGTAAGCTATAAGTTGTTGTTGTTCAATATTTTGTTTAGGCACGGAATAGTTAGACAAACAACTTGTTATGATATAGATACTAAAACTTATTTTACATGTAGGGCCTTATTTAATTTTTAAGTTGTGAGCAAAAATTATTTAATTAATTGTTTTATATATCCAGAGAAGATAGGGTTTTCATCGCGTCGAGCTTGTTTTCGATAGTTTCATGTTTATTGCCTTTTTCCCCTCTAAAGACCTAGAGATGAGTAAAATTGGTGAAAAAATCAACAGTACCAATTTAATAAATTTGAGACCTCCTGCTTTAGTGCAGTTGTAATGTGGAGAGGGCCTTCCGGTAGGATAAAAGACTAAATTAAGTCGTGAGCTAATTTGGATTCTTCCTAACTTCAAAATTCCCAATATTAGAATCACTTTAAAAGTTATTCATGACTTGGCCTATCGAACTTCACGGTCATTTAATTTATCATTTTATCTTGCTAATTGTTCCAATGAGAGAAAGTTACTTTTATTATTAACCTCAGCCCGATCTTTCTCTAGGAGTAAACAACTCCAGCATGGCACTTCTCCTTTAAGAAGTTTCAACGGAAAATTATTAGTTCCTTCGATCTTTCCAAGTTTATTAAATTAAAAATATTATACTGATCAACATGATTTTATACTTAAGCAAATTAGTTTATGGAAAATTATCATCTCTATGCTGTCCTAAAGAATAACAACATCATCCACGTAAACTTCCCAAGTATACATTTGCTGGCTACTAACAATAGCTAATAGATTTAGTTTAACTTTTCTTCCTCTGAAGCTCTTCTTTTAGAAACTTTTTTATATATATACTTTTATGCATATGAGGGAGCTAGCTTGAGCCTAAACCAGTAGAAAAGTTTTAATACATAATTTTAATAAATTTAACCTTACAGCCAGGAAGGACTGCAAAATTGATGCAGTTTCCACTACTTTACATGACCTTTAAACTTATGCAACAGCTAGAGCCAACTTAAAAATATAACTCTGCTTCCTACCTATAATTTAATCGTAGTTGAAACTCTAGGCTATAAAACTATTTATAATATAAGCTTACCTGAAACTTGGAATATACATTTTTATAAGCGTGCACGAACAAGTTCTAGTAGATAGTACCAGTTTTTAAGAACATTAGCGAACATTATTATAAATTAGTTCTAAATTCAAACATAAACACTTCCTTAATAGAGTAAACTATAATTTTAGTATCAAAAAAATATATATAACTTTTTATTTTTAAATATACTTTAAGTATCATCCGTTAGTAGCTGCATTTTTATATAGTATAAAACTATTCTTTTCTTAAAGTTAGCCGGAACAATTAAAGGAGTGTGGTTACTATTCGTAAGGCATCTTTTTTGTTCTCCTTTCTACTTCTTATTGGCCAAATTTTTTATTTATATTTAACGTATAATATTTGCAATTTTTTAATAAAAATAGTAGTTGGTGGTCAAAAGCGTGTTTATAACCCAATAAAACTGGAAGTTACTACCTTAAAGCTCTGAGAGAGCACTAGGTAAAAAGATTTAATTTTGACAATTAACAAAAATTAATGTTTTTCCTTTTATATTGAATTTTTTGTTAAGTGTACTATGCAATTTAGTTAATAAGCTCTTGCTCTAGCATTATTATAACGAGTATGAAATGCGTCATAAAATTATAATCCGTACTTTAAAAAAAATGGTTTTGTGTATTCAATTTTTACCACCAGTACTTGTAGAACGACATAGTATTTATTATTTTCTGAATTTTAAAAGTATTTTCTCTAGCTTTTGATCATTCTGTAGCCTTGTTTATATATTCTTTAAGCATGTTGTCCCAATAAATTAATTTGATTTATATATTAATTCATGCCATTATGGTCTTAAACTGTTTCTCTTTACTTCAGTTCAATTTAGTTTTAAATAAATTTCTGGCTTTAGAAAGAAGATTTGCTTATGTCAACGATTAATGCTTCAAAACCTAATTTAGTACCTACAGATATGAAAAAAGACAACAATAATAAAAAGAAGAGGAAAAGCTTTTTAAACAAAGCCCCTAAATCTCGTAAAAAGCAAATTTTAGAAGTAGGCCAGACAGAGAATACAGAAGTTGCTTACAATTTAATTAATAACAATGAGGTTCAAATATACAAAATAAACATGTGAAATATAAATTTATTCTACAACTATAAACTTAAAAAATAGGAATATGAGTTAAACACTCAAGGCATTTTTCAAAAGGAAAAGATTAAAAAAATATCAAATTGTAACTTAGAGGCCTCTTCTTCAAAAAATGAAGGTTTTTTGTTAAAATTTTATATTGCTATTGTATGTAGTGTATTATAAAGTCATGAAGGATTTATTCAAAATAACT